TTATGCGTTAACAACTCAAACGTCCTTTTATTTAACCTCTGTAAACTAAAAACCAAACGATGAAGATGAGGGAGACGCTCACATCAACATCAGAAAGATGCCCTGCCATTATTCGCAGAGGTTGTATTCGGTCCATCGACCAAATCCGTGCAGTACGATCATGAGAACAGCTTGCAAAGTAATGCCCGAAAGGGCTAAACTGCAACATGAAACGAGTATATAGACATGTCCGGTCACCATAAATTCCAGTTTATGTAAGAAAACGTGTTAAAATCGAACAGTCATACCTGGACATCCCATACAGGGTAATTATGACCCTTGTAGCACACGAGGTTGGCATTTAGTTTTGTGCTCCATAGCCGTACTGCATTTACGAATACATGGTTGGTAACTACAAAAAGTCCGAACGAATGAAAGTAAAAGTATATGTAGAGTAATGGACAGATACATACTTGTTGTATCTGCTGAAGAAGATAAAACAAAATCTCCAGGAGGACTGAAAGTGGCCGAGTAAACGGGCCCCGAGTGACCCAGTAATAATGTATAATTTCTTCTACCATTTGGTCCAACGATTTGATCATTTGTATCATTTTCACCCTGCAAGGCACCTGGAAACACAAACAAGAATCATGAAAAAAATCAACAAGGGAAATGTAATAAGATTCTTAATTATGGATGTCAAAGTAATATGTTTATCATAATGAATGCCATTATAAAAAAATTATTTGTTTCATAGAAAAAACATACAACTGCCAGCTTGTCCTATCTTCGCCATGTCCCAGACCTGAACACCATAATCGTCACTTACACATCAGTTAGGAGAGTAAGATAATAAGAAAAAGGAAACATATCCAACCATTCAAGAATAGCATACCTTTACTGATGAATCTGAGAACCCACCAGCAACTAGAGATCCATCATGAGAAATAGATGCACAGTTTAACCTGGGGGACGATAAATGAGTGAGCAACAAATTGCAAATAAGTAACAAAACATTATGAGAAGTGGTGGACATTACCCGTTATGAGTATTAAGAAATGTGTAAAAGCTGACAGATGGCATTGCGACACTACTCAACTGCACACGGTTTCTCAGGTCTTCAAGGATGGATTGCTCTACATCTGTAGACCTGACAGAAAAAAAATGAAGATGATAAAAACTTAATTTAAATCTAAGGAAGTTAAGTCTTTAACAGCTACCATATTTATTTTCATTTTATCAATCATGCAACATCCATAATTATCGCCTGTCCGTTACCGTTACATTTTCATGGCACCCTAACACAAAACTGAGTAAGGGATTCGAAAGTACATTACTGGCAAGGCAAGTTCTGGTTTTACACGTGGCGCCAGCGACACCATGCTCGTCTCCTGACGTGCAACTTTTGCGGTTGCATTTCCTGCTTTGTCCTTCTTTAACTTTTTTATGGAAGAGCCTTGCTTTCCAATTTCGGTGGATCTTTTCTGAACACGGTGTCAATTGACGAATAAATATGGGATTTTTACTTCAGAAATTGCTGATTTAACTTGGAGCTACTTATTACCTTACTACTATCATCCATGTCCCCGTCTTTACTTTCTCCTTGTCCCTTCTCAGAATCAGACAGCAGACCTCCCGTTTTCTCAAGGCGATCTTCTAGCGAGTCTTCTAGCAACTATAAATGAAAAATGCATATGTAGCTAATGACTTCGAAAATATAATATCTTCCCTGGGACGCGGCATCAATAAGTATCCCTCTGGAGAAAAAGAGTAAAAGAAGCTTAAAGAAAAAAATACGTACTCCCCACTGTATTTCTTTTTGATTGATGTGATTAGCTGTGTCCTGAAAACTCCCAACAATGGTGACAGCCTCTATGTCATCAGATGCAGAATTAGGCTGCCCCGAGTAGACTGCAATAAATGACACATCACCAACCGGTGGATTCAATCTCCTACTCAAAAATCTGACACATGCTATTGCATATATATAAGAAATGAGGACAATTACCTTGGAAATTGATGTGTTCGTTAATAATACCAAGCATTAAAGTAGATTCTGTCCTATGTAGATACTGAAGCAGCAGATCGTATGAATACTGCAACATTCAGTTATAGCATATTAGAGGTCTGCAGTCATGGAATTCAGTTAATCAGATAAGAACCCTTTAAGCATATGCTTGTTACAGCTAGTAGTCAACTTTCACTTAAAGTTTACCTGACATATTTTGATGTTGACCTTGCTTTGTCTAAGAGAACGAGCAAACTCCATCTCCTGTTAAGAGCCACGGTCATAACACAGTTGAAAAAGAAAAGAAAAAAAAAATCAATTATCCACATTACACGACCATATAAGGTAAGCTTTAAACCTCTAGATGAGATGGAGCAAGAACGCCTTCTAGCTTCTGGAGATCCCGTATATGTATCATTTCATGATCTTTGCGGAAGCTGTTAAAGAAGGCTCTCGCTGGAATACAAGTAAAATATTGCCCATGTGATTAAGTAGCATTACGCCACTGTTTCCAGAAATCTAATACATAAGGTAAAAAAATACTCAGAATCCCTGATTGTATTTTGAGAAGTACCTTCTTGAGTATGTCCTTTTCCCACCAGATCCATGTAACAATGAATAAATACGGGATACATCACTCGGAGCAATTCATGCTACAAATTCGAAGCAGCTCATCAGGTTGATTAAATTTCTAACAAAATGACACTAAGCAAAACGGCCAGGGCGGCGGAATATATGCTGACCTTATATAAATCCAAAGAGTTATATGCCCACGACCTTAGTTTGCTGTAACCCTCACGGTACCGAGTTGGATCATCTTCTGATCTGGATAACAAAAGACCACATTTAGTAACCCATTGGCTCTACAGGAGCAATTTCTCGGAACCCTTTAGAAGAAAAGTGCAAATGAGAACAATTACACCTCACTAACACCCATAGATACGGAAAAAAAAGATAAAGGCAAAAACACAGCAGTAAAAACCCTAATTTCTTCCTCCATTTACAAAAGGAATCAGAGAGCTCACTCGGAGGTATATGCATACACTACAATTGACAGATAAAATGATAGAAAATTCCGCAACAGTTTCACCCAGAAAGTGTAGTATACTACTGGTAGATGCTAAGAAACGCTTGGGCTGGCATAATTTTGCTGGTACGATAATTACGGTTTCAAAATTCACATAACACACACAAAAATTTCTACAAAAACCAAACGAAAAATTCGCATTAAAACAGAAAACGGAGAGGATAGAGGAAAAGATATAGGGAGGAAGAGAAATATTACTGGGAAAAGGAGCGAATGAGCTTGGTGAGCTCAGGATCGTTATGATAATCGATAGAACTGAAGCTGCTACCATTGTTCTGGTGAAGAACTTCTTCAAGGCGTTTAGCAGCGCTATTGAAGCCCTTCTTCTTCAAGTAACACATAACGAACTCGTCAACTTGCTCTGGATCCATTGCTCTCTCCCCCTCCGATTTATCTCTCTTTCTCTCTCTTTCTCTTCGCTTACTAAGTTCTGCTCTGAATTGTTGTTGTTTTTTTACTTTCCGTCAAATATCGGGTCTGATATATGGCGAAGCAATTTCAGGGCCTTGCTGAAACTGGGCCAGTTAAATGGCCTAATTGTGGCCCAAATTTATAATTACATTGTTAACGCCTCAAGTCTTGAAACCTTAATTACATTGTTAACGCCTCAAGTCTCATCTTTAAACCGTAATTACATTGTTAACGTCTCAAGTCTCAACAGCTTAAAATCATGGTGAATAACATAAACTTTTATTCTTTCATGGTGAAGAAGCCGAAATCTGAGATCGCTGATTCATTAGCCCACTTTTCTGCCCGACAAAAGGTTACGGATCCCTATCTCTCTACACTTATTTTTTAATATTTTTTTTGTCTATTTTCGATGTTGGTGGTTAAGGGTGGTTATTGAACGAAATAATTTACGTAATTGATTCGAAATGAAGTTTTAATATAATATGGTGTTAGTCAAATTGGGCATGTTTGATAAATTTTAAGTTTGAATAATAGTTTGAAGTTTCATTAATTTGTTAAGACTATATAGTTTGAAGTTTGAACCAGTAGTCACGGTCATAAAAAGTTGTGGTTGCCAGAGATGATGTGCTAAACGATGGATTCATCGTCCTTATTGGTAAGTGATAAGTTCCGAATGTTACATTTTTGGACGATGACAATATAAAGTAGGTCTACTGGGTAAGAACCGGGATAAGCTCAAGTGGAACTTTCTTAGGACAAACAAGTCCATATGATTTTTCTTAGTTTTGATTTTACAAAAGAAAAATTGGGGTCTATCATCCAATGTTGAGAAGAAAAGATTTTGTTTTCCAAAGGTTTTGAGCAGAAAGCTTTTGACTTGTGGAGAAATATTTGGGAAAACAAATGTGCTTAGACTCCTAAAAAATTTAGAAGAGATTTAAAGAAAAATAAAATAAAAAAATTAGAGACAAACATTATAAGCACTACTTCACTATCTTCTGGTGGTGAGATAGTGTTTTTCTTCAAGAAAGAGAATGTTACAAAATTTGGTTTTGATAAATCTATTATACTTCTAAACTAAATTTTATAACATTTTCTTTCTTCAAGAAAGATACTATCTCACTACCAAAACATAGTGGAGGAGTGATTACAACGTTTGTCTCTGGTTTTTCTGTTTCTTTTTTTTAAAAGTTTTTTCTAACTTTCCTAGAAGCCAAAATACTTTTGTTTCCCCAAACTTTTCTCAGCTAGTCAAAAGGTTCTTTGCTCAAAACCTTTCGAAGAGGAAATATTTATTCTCCACAATAGATGAATAACTTAAACTTTTAAGTCCAACTTATAGAATTGTCTTAATATATATATATATATATATATATATATATCATTAAAGAAAATGAGAAATTTGAATCATACTTCTTAGTTCACCTGCTCTTAGATACTGATTCATTAATTTGCTAGACTAATAACGGTCATAGAAAGTTGTGGTTACCGGGAAAAATGTGCTAAACGATGGATTCATCAAACCATTTCCTTATCGATATATATATATATATATATATATATATATAGACCCTCAATATACTTCGAAAGGTTACATGTTGAAATATGAAAATATAAATTAAAGTCAAGTCCATTGGGTAAGAACCGGGATAAGCTCAAGTGAAACTTTCTTGGGACATACAAGTCCATATGCTTCTTCAAGATCAACATCTTCTACCTTCATTCCTTCTGGAAGTTTCCAGTCGAATCGATAAAGAAGATTGATAAGAGTCAAGTGTACCAAAGCCATACCCATTCCTAGACCAGGGCACATCCTCCTTCCACTACCAAACGGCAACAACTCAAAGTTTAGACCTTTATAGTCAATCTCACCGTCCATAAACCTCTCGGGGATGAAAGTTTCCGGGTCCTTCCAAACGTTTGGATTCCTATGAACAGCCCAAATGTTGACATGGATCCATGTTTTCTTTGGAATATCATAACCTGCGATCTTTACATCTTTTGAAGCCTCTCTTGGTATTAGAAGTGGCACAATTGGGTTCATCCTAAAAGATTCTTTGATCACCATTTTCAGATACTCGAGTCGTTCGATATCTTCTTCTGTGATATCATCTTTGTTTTTGATCACTTGTCTCACCTCGGCTTGCGCTTTCTTCATAACTCTTGGGTTTGCAATCAAATGTGTCATTACCCATGTCACAGTTTGAGCAGAAGTGTCTATTCCAGCAGCAAGAATATTCTGTAATAAACAAAAAATCAAGAAATCAGTGAATGGAGTGTTTTTTAAATTGAAAAGTTCTTCATTACCTACCAGAAGAATTCCTTTGGTGTTGTTTCGTGTAAATTGAAACTCTCCAAGTCCAATCTCTCCCCTTTCAATTTTGAGGAGCATGTCAATGATATCATCTTTAATACTCTCATCCTCTAAATGATGTTTTATAGCTTGATCGAAAAATGAATCCATTGCTTTAAAAACCTTCTCACATTTGCTATGTAACCCTGTGAGCCTATCGATCAATTTACCAATAACCGGGAAATAATCTGCTGCTGCGAAACTCCCCGTAACCTCCATGACTCCTTGAATGACTTCTTCATAAGTATTCTCAAGTTTGCTCCCTTCAAGACTGATCCCAAATCCAACTCTGCAAATCACACTTCCTGATAGTTTCATTAACTTCTGGTTCAAGTTAACTGGATTCGCCAATGAAGCAGATTGTTTGATGAAGTCAATGAATTTGGCCGCTTCTTGTTCTCTTACATGTCGAAATGATTGTACTCTTTTGGCGTTGTAGAGTTCAGCAACCGTCAGCTTTCGTACTTCCCTCCAATATTTGCTATATGGTGCAAAGCCGAGATCCTTTAAATTGTATGTGATTCTTGCAGCGTAAGTCATGTAAGGTCGTGAACAACAATCAATGTCGTACGTCTTCAAAACATCCTTCACTGTCTCTGGAGTTGACGCCACAACGGTGGATACGTTTCCAAACTTGAGTGACATTAGAGATCCATACTTTTCAGATAATTTGAACATCGAACGATGAGGTTGCGATCCCAATTGGTGCAAGTTGCCAATTATAGGAAGTCTTGGTGGTCCAGGAGGTAGATTTTGCTTTGTCTTTCTTGTGTTCTTTGCAATGAGTATAGATGCAAAGAAGACGATTCCAACAACGATATACCACAAATTCATTTTGCTTCCTACACAAAAGATAATTTATAAAAGTCAATAAGTAATATCTAGTTGCCTCAATAGCATGTTAAATGGATGATCATAAACCAAAGAAAAGAAAAAACATGTAAAGTGGATGGAACTATTAATACTCTGAATTCAAAACAGACAGACAGAATCAGCTCTGTTTTTGTCGTTATGCAGAGACTGAGATGACCGTTGTGAGTTCATGGGCTTGTTGGTTTGGGCATTTTGTTCAGTTTGTTTGGGTCTCTGCACCTTATGGCCCATCTCGCTTTTCTTCACAGACAAAGAGACTTCTGCTATGTCGTTTTGCTTCTCTTTGGTCCTGTCTGAACTCTGTTTTGAATTCAGAGTATTAGTAGGAACCTTGCAAACTAAAAACACCGAAGCATCAATCTGCCGAAAGGAAACACAAGAAGAAATATATGCGACACTCGAATAAGTCAAGAAAACTTATAGATAACGAATTAGCCAGGTAATTAATATGAGTTTCTTGTATAATACTGAAACATCTGCATAGATAGAGAGACCGACCTCGATAAAATTACCTTCAAGTCTTATAAACTTTCTGCAGAAGATTTGATTTGAGAGAGGGAGAGAGAGAGATATGATTTTTTTTTTTTCTGGTATTGTGTGACAAGCAGGTGATGGCAATTTCGTATTTATACAGCATTTGTATGGCCTTTGTATTTACATAATTACAAATTTACACATAATTTCATATTTACACAGTATTTGACTGTGTAACAAAGCGTTTACTTTGAGAATATTATATTTGAGCACGTTTAGGATTATTTATTTCAAAGAGCAGTCTTTATCAATGAGTCATATCTCTCGTTGTTCATTGGAAGTTTGGAACAATGATAAGTTTATTTGCAGTAATACAGATCGATGTCCATACAAGCGAATAATGCTTCATTTTTTAAAGATAAGGTGGGGGACACGTTTGTTTGAATTTTTTTTTTTTTGAAAGAGACACGTTTGTTTGAATATTATTGATAAGATTAATGAATGTATGCACACTGAGAGTATATATATATACAAGTATATATTGAGCTGTATACTAGGTTTTGTAGTCACTGGTGCAGGAAAGGATCCAACGATAACAACAGGTTTTGACGACTAAATTACGTATTTGTTTTGTAAACACTAGTTCAATAACGTGTATTAACAGAATTTGTTTGTTTAATGTTTTTGATTAGCCACTAGTCCTTGGAACCTAGTAACGTACGTTAATAAAGTTTTTATTTTTTTCTCTAGTAACGTAAGTTATATTCTGCCTTGATCGAGACTGTGATTGATCCAAGCAAATTACATGGAGAAGAAAAGAAGAAAATTTTAATCCAACTTCTCAATTCATCTGCTCTTGACTATTCATTTATTTGCTAGATCGACTAGTTCGAACCAGTAGTAACGGTCATAAAAAAGTTGTGGTTACCGGAGAAAATGTATTAAACGAGATCCATCAAACAATTTCCTTATTTATATACATTGATAAGACCTTAAAATACTTACAAAGTTTACATTTTTAGCTATGAAAATATAAATTGAAGTCAAGTCCATTGGGTGAGAACCGGGATAAGCTCAAGTGGAACTTTCTTGGGACATACAAGTCCATATGATTCTTCAAGATCAACATCTTCTACCTCCATTCCTTCTGGAAGCTTCCAGTCGAATCGATAAAGAAGGTTGGTAAGAGTCAAGTGTACCAAAGCCATACCCATTCCTAGACCAGGGCACATCCTCCTTCCGCTACCAAACGGCAACAACTCAAAGTTTAGACCTTTATAGTCAATCTCATTGTCCATAAACCTCTCAGGGATGAAAGCTTCTGGATCTTTCCAAACGTTTGGATTCCTATGAACAGCCCAAATGTTGACATGGATCCATGTTTTCTTTGGAATGTCATAACCTGCGATCTTTACATCTTTTGAAGCCTCTCTTGGAATTAGAAGTGGCACAAGTGGGTTTATCCTAAATGATTCTTTGATCACCATCTTCAGATACTGGAGTCGTTCGATATCTTCTTCTGTGATATTATCTTTGTTTTTGATCACTTCTCTCACCTCGGCTTGCACTTTCTTCATAACTCTTGGGTTTGCAATCAAATGTGTCATCACCCATGTTATTGTGTGGCCAGAAGTGTCTATTCCAGCAATAAGAACATTCTGTAGTAATCAATAAGACAAGATTAAAAACATTATGCAACATGTCAAGAATGAAGTTATATGGATTAAGAAAAGTTTCCATTACTTACTAGAAGAATTCCTTTGGTGTGCTTTCGAGTAAGTTGAAACTCTCCAAGTCCAGTTTCTCCCTTTTCCATTTTGAGGAGCAAGGCAATGATATCATCTTTAATACTCTCATCTTCTAGGTGATGTTTAATAGATTGGTCGAAAAATGAATCCATAGCTTTAAAGACCTTCTCGCATTTGCTATGTAACCCTGTGATCCTATCGATGAGTTGACCAATAACCGGGAAGTAATCCGCAGCTGCGAAACTTCCTAACACCTCCATGGTTCCTTGAATGACTTCCTCATAAGTATTTTTGAGTTTGCTGTCTTCAAGATTTATCCCAAATCCGACTCTACAAATCACACTGCCTGACAATTGCATTAACTTCTTGTTCAAGTTAACCGGGTTTGCCAATGAAGCAGACTGCTCGATGAAATCGACGAAAGAGGCCACTTCTTCTTCTCTTATATGTCGAAATGATTTAACCCTTTTGGCCGTGTAGAGTTCAACAATCGTCATCTTTCGTACTTCCCTCCAATATTTGCTATAAGGAGAAAACGCTAGATCGTTTAAATTGTATGTAATCCTTGCAGCGTAAGTCATGTAAGGTCGCGAACAACAATCTGCGTCCAACGATTTTAAGACATCCTTCACTGTCTCTGGAGTTGACGCCACAACGGTAGATACGTTTCCAAACTTGAGGGACATAAGAGATCCATACTTTTCAGATAACTTGAACATCGAACGATGAGGTTGCGATCCCAATTGGTGCAAGTTGCCAATTATAGGAAGTCTTGGTGGTCCAGGTGGTAGATTTTTCTTTGTCTTTCTCGTCTTCTTTGCAATCATTATAGATGCAAAGATGACGATTGCAACAATGATATACCACAAATTCATTCTGCTTCCTACACATGCAATAAGAGATGTAGTTTGTATAAAAATCAATTAATTTTTAGCTGGCTCAATTGATTTGATAATCTTCAATGAAATAGAAATAGCTTACTAAAGGAATAAATAGCCAAAATAAGCATGTCAGATTAACAAAAAAAAAACATGTTATAAGTGAATTGAATAGATAGAACTAAAACCACCAAAGCATCACTCTGCATGCCGTAAGTCACCACCAGATTAATTCTGAATTTCCTTACAACATTCGAACAAGTAAAGAACACATATATATTTAACATATTAGAGAGAATTCAGAGTTTCTTCTACAATATTGAAACATCTAAATAGAGAGACCGAGTTGGGTAAGATTACCTTCAATTCTTATGCTTTGTGGTGAATATTTTAGAGATGGGGAGAGATTGAAATTAAGAGGAGACTGAGAGAGAAGAATTTTTATTTTGCTTCTGTATAACTTTGTTAGAGCATCTCCAATGGTTGAGACTTATTGGAGCTCTTGATTGTTTTTTAATTATTTGTTTGAGATACATACACCTATATATATGGAAGAGGTTTTATGTTTTTAAGGGTCCAATGGGAAGTTCTTCATTTAGGGATTGTTAAAAAAAAATTGTAATAATCTAAAATGTTAAAATGTTATAATTAAAAATTATTTCATTGATTTAAATTACAAACATACATTACATACATAAATTACAAATGTACATTACAGAAATATATTAATGAAAATAGAATTACAATGTTTAACATAAAAAGGAAAAAAAAAACACAAAGACAAAACATAAATCGGAAAAATTTTAGTTAAAATTATAATTTCAACCAAATTTGTTCCATATATGTTCAACTAAATCATTTGTCAATCAGTAATGCGTATTTTGATTACGAACGTTATTTCTTATGCCCATCAAATTTGTCATATTTGAAGCCCAATCAGTCTCATACGCTAAATCCACTTGAGAAGTTTTGTTTGCCTCTACTTGTGTGAATTCTTCAACACGATATTGTGTGTATCCATCTCGTTCGTCTTCAACTATCATGTTGTGAAGTATTATACATGCTCGCATAAATTTTCCTATTTTTACCTTATTCCAAATCAGAGCTGGATTTTTAACAATAGCAAAACGAGCTTGCAAGACTCCAAAAGCACGTTCAACATCTTTACGGACAGATTCTTGTGTTTTAGCAAATAATGTAGCTTTTTCACCTTGTGGAAGTGGAATAGATTGGACAAATGTAGCCCATTTAGGGTAAATTCCATCAGTGAGATAATACGCCAAGTTATACTGATGTCCGTTAACAAAGTACTTCACTTTAGGAGCTTTACCTTGTAAGACATCATCAAAAACTGGTGAACGTTCTAGAACATTGATATCATTTAGAGTACCTGGAGGGCCAAAAAACGCGTGTCATATCCATAGATCATATGAAGCTACAGCCTCTAAAACGGTTGTTGGTTTTCCAGAACCCCGTGTGTATTGCCCTTTCCAAGCGGTCGGACAATTTTTCCACTCCCAGTGCATGCAATCGATGCTTCCTATCATCCCGGAAAATCCACGATCCTCTCCCATATTAAGCAGTCGTTGAAGATCGGCTGGTGTTGGTCTTCTTAGGTATTCATCTCCGAATAAATATATTATTCCTTCCGCAAATTTTTCCAAACATGAGATTGCAGTACTCTCACCTAGCCGGAGGTATTCGTCAACTGCATCAGCTGCACAGCCGTATGCCATCATACGAATTGCTGTTGTAGACTTCTGGAGTGCAGATAGACCAAGTCTTCCGGTGGCATCTCTTTTTTGTTTAAAAAAAGGAACTTCATTGGAGAGACGATCAATAATATACATGAACAAGGATTTGTTCATTCTAAAACGACGTCGGAATATATGATCAGGGTAGATTGCATCTTCACAGAAGTAATCGTTCCATAAACGAATATGGCCTTCTTCACGAGCTCTATCAATGTATGCTCTTTTTTTCTTGGGTGCTGTCGGCTGATGACCTTGACCCTGGAGAATATTTTCAAATGTTTGATCAAAAAACTGATTAGAGGCTTCCTCAAATTGTGCATCCATTATTTCTTCGATATTATTATTGGAAGAAGGTGCCATTTTTTTTTCTTTTGTTGTAAGAAAGAAAAGTTTGGGAAAAACGATTGGGGTAGAGAAGGGAAGAAGATCGTTTGTGATAGAAGATTGTTGATGAGATGAAATTGATTTAAACATAAGTATTCATATATATAGAGAAAGAATGAGTTTGGTGGGAACGTGTTTACACCATAACCATATAAACAATGTGTGGTTTTACATAAAAGTTTGAGAAATGTGTGGTGTGTACATAAAAAACCAAAAAAACTATGTGTGGTGAATTCATAAAAAGCCATCTCCAACATGTGTGGTAAGTACATAAAAAACCATAAAAATCTTTTTGTGGTGTCGGCCATACAAATACAAAGACACAAAAATATCTACTTCTCTCAAAATACATTTGTGGAATAACGATTGTACCATGCATCCTTTAAGCCCATCTACTCATACAAACCCATCTGCTCATAACGATTGTGCCATGCATCCTTTAAGCCCTGCATCAAACCCAAACAGCATTATAAGAAGACCCAAATCCAGCTAAGTGTATACCAATTAACCATATGCATAAACATGAAAAGATAGTATAACCGAAATCAAACAAAGATACGTTAGATGCTTAACCGAAATCATACAAAGATCATGTATCAACAATACATGTCCTAAGAGAAAAAAGCATACAAAGGCTCAACCGAAATCATACAAACTTTAGAACACAAATAAAACATCTTAAACATAAAACATCTTAAACATAAAACATCTTAAACTTTAGACAACATTTCCGAAATGATCACATCCTTTAAAGCTTTCTCGTTCTCAGTTAGGGGCTCAGCTTTAGCAAGAAGATTCTCCAAAACCTTTTGCCTGCTTATCTTATCCTTCAGTTCAAAATCCTTCATCCTAATCTCCCACTGCCTCTCATAACTCTCATGCTGAGAGAGAGACTTCCCAGATCCAGTCGCAGTGGTATTTCTCTTCGCCTTGGCTGCTTTAACACCCATTGGACGTGGCATTGGTTCATCTACTCCCTGAGCTGAGCTTGAGGACTCGTCGACTCTTCTTTTTTTTGATCCTTCTTTGCCACACCACTTGGGATCATGTCTCAACTCTCGCCAACAATGTTCAAGAGTAAACTTTGACTTGTGATCGTTGATGTATATCTCATTCGCCAACTTCATGACATCATTGTCATTTTGTCCACTCGATCTTTGAGCTGAAGCAGCAGCGTAGCTTCCCACAAACTTGCTGACTAACTCGTTTATCCTGGTCCACCTTTGTTTGCAATGAGTTGGCTGTCGGTTTTCTTCTCCAGCGAGCTTTTCACTTGAGTTGAAGTAATGAGCAATCCTTCTCCAGAATGCATCCAATCGTTGCTCATTACCAACGATTGGATCTTTGCTCGTGTTGAGCCAGGCACTAATGAGCACCTTATCCTCCAATGGACTCCACATTCTTCTTGGTTTTACGGTTTTGGGTGTGCCTTCATCTTGGCTTGGAGCTTCAGACCATGTCGTACCAAAAACTTGAGCTTCAGAGTCACCAAGATGTATACTTGGTGAAACACAGTCGACGTCAGTGGGTTCATGGCTCTGAGTATTATTTTGACTGTTTAGAAGATCCATGAACCCCGAAGACCCAATATATGGAGAATCCATACGTGTTTGGTTTGAGTGATGAAAGGACGAAGGCGTGAAAATGAAAAGGAAAGAGAAAGGAGAAACAAAGAGAACAAAGACAAAGGAGAAATAAAGAGAACAAAGAGAAAGGAGATATAAATAGAAACAAAGAGAAACAAAGAGAAAGGTAAATGCTCGATGGAGTTTAAATGAGAAGGAAAGAGTTCACCTATAAAATTTATGTCTTATTCTTTTAAAGCTGAAAGGTTAGCTACTTCTTTATTTTTTAAGGTGAAAGCTTTTAGTTATGTTAAGGTGAAAGCTTTTAGAGAAACTTATGTTAGTGTGGTTAGCAGTCAAAATCACATTTAAGAGTCACCTAACCGAGCAGCATTGATCACACAGCATTAACCATTCTTTCAGACACCAATATCAGCAATAACATGAAACCATATCTATCATCATAAACCAATCCAAAGCATTGAAACCATATCTAGTCAACAAGCTCTAAACATGATTCATAAGACAAGTTATTTACCTCGAAGAAAAAACAGGTATACGTTTTCTGAAAGTTGATGATGAGACAACAAATGGGCCATGAAAATTACAAATCTGAAAGTTGAGAGATTTGTAAACAAAGCTCTATAGAGCCAATGTTCATCACTAGTAAAAAGAAATTCGTAGATCGTCATCATAAAATTAAAGAGATTGAAATCGAGAATTGAAGATCATAAATATGTAGAGATTCGACATGAGAGAGATGTGGAATTAAAACTATCACTCCATCAGAATCAGACAATACGAAATGACTAGATCTTAAGCCCACCAAAGACTAATGAAATGAAAATTCATGGTCAATCGTTGACATGAAAAAATTGATCCCAGGGCACACAAAGTTCGGCATTCACAAAATGAACATCGAAAAAGTAAATTCAGTGGAGAAGATCAAAGAATATTCAGAGACTAGAAGCAGGGATTGAAAAAAGAAAAGAGCGAAAAGGTTATACCTTTGAGTAGGAAGAGAAGAAGATTCAGTGCTCGTTGACATAATAATATCTTCTCTTTTCTCCTTGATCTGAATCAGTTTTCTTCGGAGAAGACTCCTCTCCTCAATCGCGAAATCGACACAACTCTCTCGGGTAATGGATTTTAGATGTCACCAGAACCAAAGCCATCTGATAAGAAGAAAAAACAGGTTTACGTTTACTCAGGAAATCAAACTTACAAGCGCCTAAACAAAGTGGGATCGGAAAACAATTCCAACCTTCACATCGCTACCACTAATCGATTCATCAAAAGGAATTAATCATGCATCAGCTTAATTTTTAGAGAGTTCACCACTTCACCTCATCGATTCACTCATCAACCCTAACTAATCAGCAACAAATTCGAAGGCGTTCCACAAGTAAATCGATTCAGCAAGCATAATTAACCGATTGATCTACAAAATTTGAAGAGAGTCGAGAAACTTATCTGAGTGTTGGTGAGAGAGATTCCGGTCACAATCGATTCGGTGAGAGAGATTTTCCAGCCTTCAATCCATTTGAATTCACATGCAAGTCAAAAAAGGATATCAATTTCATCAGTGAGATGAAGTTTAGGTTTCAATTTTTTCATAAAAGAGAGAGCAAAATTTTTCTCGTTCTCATTTGAGAGAAAATGGTCGGTGTTTGAGAAAATGGTGTGTGAAAAACAAAAAAAAAATCTGATTGTTTCCACCAACAAACTAATGACACGTATGGAGTTGATAATGAGTCCTTAAAACTCTTCATCAAGTAACAGTTATTGTGTTTTATTAGCTTTAATCTTTATTTTTAATGCTAAAATGGGTTTACAACTCCCTAACAACTCTCTAATAACCCCTTGTTGGAGATGGTCTTACACGCAGCCGTCGGTGACAACTAGTCTATATATATACATCAGCTTTTGGCATGAGATGACACTGTCATTTACATAATCGTCCACCAGAGTTTATCCAGAAATCAGAATTATATCAAGACTGACAAGACGTATTTTACTTTCAATAGATTTAAAACAAATTTGGCGAATATCCTAATGATATACACAGTATATATATGAGATAACAGAACAAAGGTTACATGAGGGATAATTAGATATTTTCTTCAAAGTATATGACCCAAAATGAACAAACTAGTACTTATAAAAATAGCTAGTTCTATAAAAATAACTAGTTTTTTTCAGGTGAAATTTTTCCCTAGAGAAGAGAGTTTTTCCGGGTCTTCATCAATCTTGTTTTTTTTATAAGAGTAGTCTCAATCAACCATAAAATCTTGTGGTTGCATGGAATTCTTCGATGATAAGTTTATTTTACTAATCAACCAATAATATATAGATGTCCACAAAAACCAAAAATGCTAGATTTTTCAAGATAATGTGATATACATGTTCGTTTGAATATATTGGTGTGGCTGTAATTAATAATTAAACGAAAATGAGTTCGTTTTGTAGTGGTTCAGTGAGATGATTCGACGATAACAACAAGTTTCGATTAAATTAAATTTATTTCGTAACCGCTGGTTCAGTGATACATTTTACCAACATGACACATATGACTAATCTGAGATTTCTCTGACAAAAAAAAAAAAAAAGAATAATCTGAGATTTAAAAAGCTAAAACATTTTAGCGTTTGAATATTTTTTAGCCACGCGGAAATCTATCGCCAAAATGCCTTGATGAACAACCGACTACAAAAGGAACATGACTTAATGTTGTTGTTGCTTGTCGGCTACGGCAAAACGAACAACTAAACGTGTTCCGTGTCGGAGCTAGTGAGTTGTAAGGGGATTACTCTAAAGTTTTACTTCGTTGGTGGTTTTGATCTCTTCACATTTTCTCCCTGGAATTTTCATTGTATTATTCTTCTTCGACCGAGTTCTTAAATTTCATTTTGCGAGAGGAGTGAGAATATTGGGTATCATAAGCAGTTTGGATACTTATCTTTTTTTTTTATGTTGTTTTGTTTAGATTTTTTTTTTATGGAATGATTTCTTTGTTCGTAGGCTGTCTGACCAAGAAGCTGAGGGTCAGAACATTTGCAAGCAGTTGTTTGTAAGCTTTTCTGCTTATACCTACAAAATCTCCTGAAAATCTTCTTTTAGTTATTCCCTGCAATAGGTAGAGACTCTCTTGGTGCTATATATAGAGAAAAACTGAGAAAGTAGCATTCCTCCTTATCTTCCTGTACTCTTTAGGTCAAGTTGTGTATGGATCGACAAGATATTATGTGTGAATCTTATTAATCTAAGAGTTTCTGATCCATATAAAACAAAATAGAGAAGAAGAAACCTAAGGAAGGTAAGAACATTATAGAGAAAGCTCAAGCTGATATAGCAACCTTGTTGGAGCTAAAGCGAATTTATGATTATTTAATAATTCGTTATGGACTGGTACTTGTCTAACATTTTCTTCTGTTTTGCATTTCTTTAAAACTATGGATGATCCTATTAGGGTACTTTGATCTACGAACAATTTGCATATGTGGCTCCCCTGAATTTTGTGAAGATGCAGATTATTTGAGCTGATAGCTGAATGATCGAAAGATGCATCAGACGCTGGATCATTTGCAGATATTCAAAAATATCTGCTGGTTCCTAGTCTTGACATCACAAGATCTGATGCAGTCAGACCTGTTCAATGCAACCTTAGAAGATAAGAATCTATCAGAAATTCAGGTACTTTCTCTTCCTCTCTTCTCTGCCTTACATAATCTCAATGCTTCAGGACAGCTTGTTAATGGAGGAGGCCATTCGATGGACATTTCCAAAACCTCTTTGGATGAAAAAGCTGGTAAAGATCAGAATAATCAAACGATTTAAAAGACTCTTTGAGCTATTTTATCTTGTTTGATTTAACTGAACCTGTTTAACAGTTTTGAACTTTTTGTGTCAAACTTTCCTCGTTGAGGTTAAGTATTATTCAAGGATTACCTGAAGAGTCTTGCAAAGCTTTTACGACTAATTAAGAAGAGTTGAGGTAAAACAGCTTGTAAAACATTCTACTGTAAACGACACTCGTAAGTTTTGCTTCTTGATCTAAGTAGTTGGTTGTTTTTTTTTTTAATTCAAATTGTGCAAACTAAACGTAATAAACAATTTAAAGGGAAAAATTAATCGATTCATTTAATATAATTAAGTGATTCGGTTAAACAGGATATTACTGAAATAAACCAGCTGGTTCAGACAAAATCGTAGGAGGGTTGTCTATGTGAAATAAACTAATCGTGTTTAGAGCTTTAATAAATCAATCAACATCATTACAGTTCAATTCTTTAGCCCCAAAAGCAAAAGATCCAAAACAACATGACGACTTGCATATCTTGTCCTTTGCCGTCGACATACAAACTTTGTTACATAGATGCATATAATATAGTCATTAATTGTGTAATAAGCTTTAATAATAATAGGAGCCAATGACAACATTTAATTATTCTACGCAGAAAATATCTTCTCCAACTATAGCTACCATTTTGTCATCTTTATTTGTTTGTTTTTCGAAATTTCAGTCAACACTACTTATCTCTTTTACATCTCTGGACTATTGTTTTTTTTTTTTTGTAACAAATCTCTGGACTATTGTTACAAAGGAATTTACAGATTGCCTTGAAATTCGATGGATAATATGAATGGATTCAATTTTTGAATCAAGTTAATATAGTATATAACTGTAAGATACATTCAAAAATATGAATGGACATACTAGTTTTCTCCATATTAGAACATCTATGCGTGATAACGATTTGTTGCTGTCTTGATATTTTTCTATAAAAATATGTTTGTTACAGAAGGTTTTTTTTTTTTTTTTACCTACACTGCTACATACCAAGATAACGATTTGTTGCTGTTTTGATATTTTTCTATAAAAATATGTTTGTTACAGAAGGTTTTTTTTTCCTACCTACACTGCTACATACAAAAACTTGTTAATTATAGATAGGAATACTTTTAACCATATATAAAAAACAAACCTGTCAATCTATTACCGCCGGCGCCATTAGATCTTTAATTTCTTTGGTATTATCTTCGTTTAGAAATGTAGATAATTTGCCATGAATTTTACGCCACTAAGTTAAATAAGTATGTATATTCCTCCTTTTAATAATTTAATACCACCTCACCAATAGAGGTGGTAAATATTAAAACTCAAACATGAATCATCAGTATTTAAATATCTTAATTTAATAAAGAAATTCAATGCAGAAAGAGAAAGGTGTGTAACCGAAAGAGTAACATAAATTCATGAATACTGTAATTATCGTGTTAAACTGAAACAATTTATAGAGAACATAAAACACTACATATAATTTGTATCTCTAAACCGCGGCATTGATTGAATCTCGTGAGTCTCTTTCGTGCAGGAAATCTCTGAATATATTTCCAAGGGGCCGTCTCAAACCGCCTTACTGTGTTTCTTATAAAACAAACCACCAATAAAATCTTCATCACTCATCATCATCATCTCTCAAAGCAATCATATTTGCTGAATACATATGGAATCATTCTACTTCAGTAAAGATAGTATATGCTCATGGAGCAACCCAAACTTAAAATCATGGGTCAACAGCTTTTCACTTTCCTAAATCCTCTCCTCAACTCTCACCACCTTCTTCATCTTAACAAAAAAAAAGAAGTAAAACGTTCACTTGAAAATGGAGGAAGAGCAACGTCGTGTTCTGTTCGGTAAATACGAGATGGGAAGGCTACTAGGCAAAGGAACCTTCGCCAAAGTCTATTACGGCAAGGAGATAATCGGCGGCGAGAGCGTGGCCATAAAAGTCATCAACAAAGATCAGGTGATGAAGAGGAATGGTATGATGGATCAGATCAAACGAGAGATCTCCATCATGAGACTCGTTCGTCATCCAAACGTCGTCGAGCTTAAAGAAGTCATGGCCACAAAGACCAAGATCTTCTTCGTCATGGAGTTCGTCAGAGGCGGAGAGCTTTTCGCCAAAATCGCTAAAGGAAGACTCAAGGAAGACTCCGCTCGCAAATATTTCCAGCAATTGATCTCAGCCGTTGATTTCTGCCACAGCAGAGGCGTTTCTCACCGGGATCTCAAACCGGAGAATCTCCTCCTCGACCACAACGGAGATCTCAAGGTCTCCGATTTCGGTCTCTCCGCTTTGCCTGAGCAGCTTCTACAAGACGGTTTGCTACACACCCAGTGCGGTACTCCGGCTTACGTGGCGCCGGAGGTTCTTCGGAAGAAAGGATACGACGGCGCAAAGGCGGATATATGGTCATGCGGCGTTATCTTGTACGTGCTCCTCGCCGGATATCTTCCGTTTCAGGATGAGAATCTGATGAAAATGTACCAGAAGATTTTCAAGGCGGATTTCGATTTTCCGATGTGGTTTCCACCGGAAGCGAAGAGATTGATTTCGAAACTCCTCGTCGTCGATCCCGATAGACGGATCTCGATCCCGGCGATTATGCGTACGCCTTGGTTTCGGAAAAGCTTCAAGCCTCCGATCGCTTTCAAAATCGACGAACCGATCAATTCGCCGAGCAATAACGACGAGAATCAGAGAAGAGACGGCGACGGTGAAGACGAGGAGGAAGAACCGCCGGTGTCGCCGAAATTCTTCAACGCGTTCCAATTCATCTCGTCGATGTCGTCGGGATTCGATCTGTCGAGTTTGTTTGAGAGCAAGAGGAAGCTGAGATCGATGTTCACGTCACGGTGGTCGGCGTCGGAGATAATGGCGAAGATCGAAGGGATCGGGAAGGAGATAAACATGAAGGTGAAGAAGACAAAGGATTTCAAGGTGAAGTTGCAGGGGAAAACGGAGGGGAGGAAGGGACAGATCTCTGTGACGGCGGAGGTTTTCGAGGTTGCGCCGGAGGTCTCCGTCGTCGAGTTCTGCAAATCGGCGGGAGACACTCTTGAGTACAATAGGTTATACGAAGAACAAGTCAGGCCGGCGTTAAACGACATCGTATGGTCGTGGCACGGCGATAATAATAATAATAATATTATGACTATTAATAATAATATTAATATTATTAATGACCCTAATAATAATGATAACTATAGTAGCGATGAAAACTCGGTAGTGACTGCGACGGGAGAAGGTAATTAATGTAAGTAATGTGAAACTGTTAATTTTGTCATTCGGTTTGTTGTTAGATTCAGGAGGTTTTGTAAATTATGTGCATATATAGACGTTGAGGTTTTCTGACCAGAAAATGAAAAAAAAAACTATATTAAAGCAGAAGGTAATATTACGATCTAATTAAATAAAACTTAAATTAATCATCGCCATCTATGTTAGTCTTCCAATGTCCACTGAATAGCACTAGGTTTTAGTTGAGAGTGGAGAACACAGATAAACAGAACATGAGCGGAGAAAGATGTTCTTATCGAAAGACAATCCCATTGCACTTTAAAAAATTGGAAGTATAAAAACCTAATAAAAATTTAAATGAAGCATACCGTAATTGGTTTTTTATATATCTTTCATTTTATTTAAAAATATACATAAATATTCTAACATGAGAAAAGTTATCAAAAATTGAAATTACAGAGTGTCAGAAAAAGTAATAACAACAGATATTTATTTATTTTATTTTTTTACCACAACAGATATAATAACAACAGATATTATATCAAAAACATTTACATGAATACATTTTACTTTATGTATTACTCATTAAACCTTTTTTCTGTCTTCGTGTTAAACGTATATCAAAATATCTAGTATCATTCGACTTTTTGTCATTTTGCAATAACGTAAAAAAACAAGAACTTTTCTTTTGAACAAGTAAAAAACAAAAACTTCTTGGGAGATATTTTTTGTTTGACAAATTGAGATCTTACATACACAATTATATGTAACTTAGAATATTAATATTTTCACAGATATTACAGCTAATTAAATTATTATTTTCAGAAAATAAAAGACGTTACATTGAGCAAGACATATATCATACTACTAGTAAGTTGTACGTTACTGCATTATGATTACCAATTTCAATCTCGAGTTTATCAACAAATTAAGGACATATACCGATTCGACAAGTGGTTACGGTAAAGTTAGATTGCGTGATAGAGAAAAAGTAACGGACAAAACTTGCACATAATTGGAGAGATTTGAAAAGAACAGGCACGTGTTCGTGTCGTAGTCTCGTAGAGAGTCCAAAACGACCCACCTTTCCTTGTATTACAAGGTCAATTAATAGAAAGTAATTTCTAAGAACAAAGACACGATAAAAAACTATTAAAAACAGCTTTATTTTAGTTTATTTACAGAAAGATACATGAGATAAGCGAATTGTCATTGCATTAACAATTGCGTCATGCAAACATTCTGGAAAAGTGAGGTATACACAAATAATAGGTAAAATATACATCTGTGTGATGCGCTGGATTGAGTCATAAATTAAACTAAATAACCCCACGGTGTAAGAACTATAAAAGTCATATAATCATGCACGGGTTTAGACTTTAGATAGACAGATAAAAAGTGAATTGAGTGGATACAAAAATTGAGATAAAAACAAAAATGAGAAAGAGAAAGATAATGTTGGTAGGTCCATTGGATGATGCATTATTAGTCTCGGATGCATGGAATGTAATAAATCGAGCTGAAGTGGAAAGAATCTGCACTAACATTATCTCACCAGGCCACCAAACTCTATCCCAAAAATAAGGTTACTATTTTCCTTAAAAAGGAAAGCTTCTCTTCATTCAACGTTATAACCTTATTTTTGGAATGAAAAGAGTCTTAGTAAGTTTGATATATTATAGGGACCGGGCTAAAGACATTTAAAAAAAAAAAAAAAACTATTTTCAAGTCTGAATATCATTAAATTGAATCGGTCCACAAAATTTTGGTACTGCAATTGCAATATTCTAAACCGGTGGGTGTGTGTGTAAGAGACAAAAAGGACTGTGATATATAACAGATAGATTGATGGAAAAAGGAAAAAGGCAATCAATCAGTGGGTACTACCTAACTGCTACACCTGTCTGATATATATGGGACCCCAATTTTTAATCTTAGATATGTCTTTTCTTCACTTGTATCTCCAGCGACCTTCCTTTGGCCCTACTCCAACCAAATTCCTTACATAATATGCTTCCTTTCAAAATATTATCCTAAAATATCCTACTTGCACTACAATCGTGTTCTTGGATAAGCTTAATCACCGTGTTTAGTTTAATTGATTAACCAAGTCAAAAGTTGAGGGAGGTTAAGAAAGCCAATATGATGTTTTGCGCATGAGATGTGAAAGCCAATATGATGTTTTGCGCATGAGATGTTATCATTCTTCCGCTTAACGTGAATATACTTAATTTTGTTAACTTTCTTTTTGAAAAATTTGTAATCACTCAACATAGTTACGCACTTACGCTACGTGTAGACATCATTTTATTTTAAAAGTAAGATATGTATTTGCCTAATATTCGAATCTAATGTGAAATTTACACCGTATCAAAACCAACCACTAGATTAATTCGTTCCACATTGGTTATTTCTTTTAAAAGGATAATCTAACCAAGCATGAAATTTATTACACCTAATGCATTAACACCTAATGCATTAACGGTTTATAAATTTCTGCGTAAACGATTTTGCATATGAAAGTTTATTATTCACTAATCAACACATAATATAGATCTGGATTTTAGACTTCGTTAATCTATTAGGAAAAAAGATTTTCATTAAATAGTTATCAGGATGATCACTTGAAGACACTATTTTTAACAATTGAGATAATGTACTGGTCACCAAACATTTGTATGTTTATCTCAGGAATTAAAAAAAAAACATTTCTTGAAAATAATGCTACTTTGTCTCATTAATATACCTCTATGTTCAAACCCTGAAATTAAATTAAACATCTTTGTCCAAATTCTTGAACTGGAACTACATATGGAGAGTTCCAATCTGCATCAAAGATCTCCTGAAGCTTCAACACAATCTTGGTGTTGTAAGTTCCAAAACTTACACCACTTGTCGCAAAGAAGTAGTCCCAAACGAGGTTGCTGGTCCCTATGTGAGCTCTCACGTCGCTCACCACATATTTCCCGTGATTCACTCTCGTGTAATCTGGATACCGGTTTCCGGTTTTAGTCCCGTTTCTAACCGCAGGTCCTGTCTTGTTAAAACCAGGAACCATGTAGTATCTGATCTCCACTTGGCCAAAACATTTGCTTTGCATAGAGGAAGAGGAGCAAAGAACATTGGAGTAGAGCAGCGTCCTCAAGTATCGATCAGTGGCCTCAATGAAATGACCCCAATATGCTACTAGAATCTTCACTTTAGCATTCTTGGCGAAGACGACCTGCAATGTCAATTCTATGTAACTCAAATTCTGGCATTTAAGGAGAGTTAGATCATTAAGAATAGGTAAGTACCTCGGAAACCGCAGAAGAAAGGGATGACCAATAAACCTTAGGATTAGTATATTGAGACTGACCAAGCCAATCCATTGTATTGATCCTCACTGTTCCTCCTTCCACTACAGATTTGATTGTATCTATCCATCCTTGTTCATCAGATTGATGCTTCCCAAACAAAAGCTACATTTTCAAAATGCCAAAACCATATCATGTATATGATCAAAGAGCCCTGAACTGTTTTTATTGATTTTAACCTCTGGTGGTGCAAAAGATAGATAGCTCAGTTGCGGTTCTGAACAAGAATGGTTTCTAGGGAGAGCTTCAATATCGATTCTATACATCTCAGGATCAGATAGTGAAGGATAACCTGGGGAAACATTAGGTGTCTCTATGTAACTTGGAAGAGGTGACCTGAAAAGAGAAACACTTAATGCAAAGTACAGAAGAAAGAGAGTATAGTTTCTGGTTCAGTGTCACTTCTCGATCCCATTACCTGCATCTTGCTTTGTTAGGTATAAAATGGGACCAGCAAGGAACAGTTCTTTTGATCAGCCATTGTTGATCTGATACACTTCTTGTGTGAATTGAAGAGTCAAGAGATGCTAATCTCCACAAGTTATCGAAATAAGTCTTAACCTTTCGAGCAATTCGAGAACACCCACTTAAGTAGATCCCAACTTCTTTCACCTGTCAAAAATCAAAACAGCTCATACATTGCAGCCAATGTTCTACGGTGATTTCAGTTTGTATGTAAAATATTAGACATACTTGAGTTAGAGATTTCCAGTCATTATTGGCAGATCCTATATAGACGTCGCGATCATCTGAAATCCAAACCTTGGCATGAACGATTCCAGAGCCATACCATTTGCTTAGTAACAAAGTCACATTCTTGACGTTTGATCTTCCAGAAGCAAGATCAGATGGTTCTTTGGTGTACTCTGGGTATACTCCTGAATGAGACAATAGTCTATGCACAAGTATTTATCATTCAAATTCAAAAAGTTTATAACTTTCAACGATAAATCTAATAACTATTCCTGATAGAAAGACCATTCTCATCATTTCTCAATATTCCATGATCCTATACTCAAAAACAATTCCTTTCAAGAAACCATCCTAACTATGAAAGATTTGTACTAATTTACCTGATACTAACATTCCGATTAGCAGCATTGTCGATGGATTTATAGACTAGAGAACCAAGATGAGCTCCAAATTTCTGCAAATCTGAATCTGAGAAACCGAAATCGCCCGAGCGAGGATCCTTTGGGTTAGCAAGAAGCTGCCAATACTGTGCTATGATGTCTAGTGATCTTGTTGAATTATTTGCCAGCCACTGAAACACATCCCCTGCAGCACCAAACATTTCCCTCAAAACACATATCCAGATATTGTCTTTGTAATAGACTAACTGAATTACCCAACTTTTTTTCCAATGTATAAACAAAAACAGAGCTATGATAGTACAGAGGAAATAAGGCTCAATAAGTTCGCAAAAAGACACAGGCTTTCTCTGAAAACAAAACAAAGAAATGAATTTTGCAGGAAATGTTTTACTTAGAATCCAGAAACTTCAAAGGCGTATCACACAACTTGTTCAAAATAAAAAAAAATTGAAAATAACAGAGCAAAGAGTAAGTAATAAACAGTTCTTGTGCCCAGATTTTCTCGAGAAACAGTGAAGAACCTGTGGAGAGTACACCAGAGATGCGAGGAAACTCGGGCATGTCCGTGGGGATGGATTGAACCAGCCAGGCTTTGCATCGAGACGATGAGTCGACGACACGTGGCAGGAAGAGGCAAACTAGAAGCAAAACGACGGCGTATAGAAGCGGCGCTCTCTTCATCAT